CAGGGCGACGTGAACAAAGGAACAACAGAAAATTCCCACCAAAATGAACACGTGACTAAAGATCGAGAGATCAAAGTGCACCCAATGAAAAACAAGGCTCGTCAACCGATATATTCTATTTATAGCATCAATTGACCTAACAGTGAACAATGCTCTAGCTCATTCACCAGGGAGACTCACCTTACTTTAAACGAAATCCGAATCACGACTGTAACAATACCCCCCCCCCCCACCACCACCACACACACACATACACAAGTGAAATACTTTCACAAACGAGATAAAAAAAAATGCATCGGGTAATTCGGGTTCCCCACAAATTTTACCCCTCTTGTATTTATTGTGAAAAAATAATAAACAGTTTACATTGATGTCATTATCCTGATTTTTTTGTTACAGTGTATTTGATAGCTACAATTAATTTTCACTCTAACCCATTCCTTCCGGATACGCTTTTTATTTTCAACTAAGCTTTTTATTCACATTTTGAAATTTTATTTTAGTTTGAATCATTTAAGCATACGAAAGCCTACAAGGGTCAAATTAGAAAATGAAGAAAAAAATGAAGTCGTAATAACGACTTTTTATCTCCTAATAACGACTTTTTATCTCGTTATTACGACTTTCTTTAGTAGGTTTGCTATATTTGACCTTTTCGTATTACGGAAACTTATGACCGCCTTGTGAAGTTGATTTATACATCAAACTGACAAAATAAAATTAGTATCATCTGCTTATCAGGCAAGTTAACGTTGCGGGGGGGTTGTGGGGGGTGGGGGGTGGAGGCTTCGCCATTATTTTCTCAAACATAACTTTTCTGCTGATGACAAAGTTTATTGAAGTTCATTGCCCCCCCCCCCCCCCAACACTTTTTGTTGCAATATTGCCAAATAAGGGCGATGTGGTAGTTTAATTTCAATCTGGTACTGAAAGAAGTTGCCAATATATCGTAATTTGGTTATATATAGCATAGACTTTCACGTTGATATTTTGAAAGATTTGTCTGTGAACGAGGAATGTAAAAGTACATTTGAACGACAATTTAAACCCCTTTTTGCAAAGAAATACATAATATAGTCTACATATAGACATTGATAATTGGGGCTTACTGAGTAGCCCCTAAAACATTTTTGTTGGTTTATCCCCCCCTTTAGTTTGCTTTCGATATGCGCTTATGTATCATATATAATATTTTGAAATGATTTCTGCGATGTGCAACACTAATGTCTTCAATTTAGCGGCATATCGATATAGATTATAAGTGTGTAAACAAAACAAGTCCAAATATTGTCAATAATTACAGATTTTTGTCATAAATAAATTGTCAAACTCTAGTGCAACTGTTTTGACAATTTCATAACTAAACAATCATTGCGTTTTCAGCTACACGACATCGTTATACCGGGCACGTTTCCGTTTTCTCTCCTAGAAGGATCAAGTTAAAAAAAATGTTTCAAATGAAAAAAAAAATAAATAAAAAGTCGTTATTACGACTTAAGAAAGTCGTAATAACGAGATAAAAAGTCGTAATTACGACTTAAGAAAGTCGTAATAACGAGATAAAAAGTCGTTATTACGAGATAAAAAGTCGTTATTACGACTTAAGAAAGTCGTTATTACGAGATAAAAAGTCGTTATTACGACTTAAGAAAGTCGTTATTACGAGATAAAAAGTCGTTATTACGACTTAAGAAAGTCGTAATAACGAGATAAAAAGTCGTTAACGAAAGTCGTTATTACGAGATAAAAAGTCGTTATTAAGAGATAAAAAGTCGTAATAACGAGATAAAAAGTCGTTATTACGAGATAAAAAGTCGTAATAACGAGATAAAAAGTCGTAATTACGACTTAAGAAAGTCGTAATAATGAGATAGAAAGTCGTTATTACGACTTAAGAAAGTCGTTATTACGAGATAAAAAGTCGTTATTACGAGATAAAAAGTCGTAATAACGAGATAAAAAGTCGTTATTACGAGATAAAAAGTCGTTATTACGATTTAATTTTTTTTTCTTCATTTTCTAATTTGACCCTTGTAGGCTTTCGTTAAGCACGCAAATATGATACGAAATTTTTCCCATCCAGAGGGGTTAGAAGTCCATAAATTATTTTCAAGTATCAATTTTATTTATTCAATTTACATCGGCATTTTCATAAACTACTTGTATCTTAATTATTTTGATTCTAACTTTTGAAATTCTGTTTCAATATGCCTGCTCTATCTTTGCGCAGTATTGAACTGTTAGACTTATTACCCTAGAGACCGTTTCACAAAGCCTACTTAGGACTAAGTTGTATCTTAGGAAAGAACTTTTTCCCAAGTTCATTACTTATCTATTTCACTGACGCCGTCTCATCTTATGATATTCCTAAGTTTTCACTTGGCACAAATCGTATAAACCGAGGCCCCGTGTCACAGCAGGTGTGGCACGATAAAGATCCCTCCCTGCTCAAGGGCCGTAAGTGCCGAGCATAGGCCTAAATTTGCAGCCCTTCACCGGCAATGGTGACGTCTCCATATCAGTGAAATATTCTTGAGAGGGACGTTAAACAGTATACAATCAATCGGAAGCACTCTTTGTTACGTAGATAGCGTACATGTAGGTAGCATGTCGGAACTCATTATCTTCAGCATCACCCCCCCCCCCCCCCCACACACACACACACACACTCCTTTGCCATATATTAACGAAAGAGAATGGCTTTTAATTAAGATGGGGCTATAATTTTTTAGATTCATTTATTTTGGAACAGCAGAAAATATTACCACCGCCATATAAGTTTCCTTAAAATTAATACTCTCTGCATGCACCCACCAAAATGATATTTTGCTCAATAAATTCTGGATCTGTGAAAAATAGATGAAAACAGTTTTAAGTTGGTGGGTGCATGCGGAGGTACTGAAATATAAAAGAAATTGTAGGAAAATCACGTTTTCGGGAAAGATCATCAGTTTGATAAGTATTTGTTAAGTCACTAGTGCACTATAATTAAATTTTAAAATGTTTCAGTGAAAAACAGTTTCCAAACATTAAGAATATAAACAATTTACAAAATCTTGATAACTTTTAAATTTTGGGGCCATTTTAGGGCATCGGAGCCTCTTCCTCTTTCAGAATATGTTACCTTGGTGATAAAAGTGTAATATAAACTTTATAAAAATATACCAAGCCAGGTGGATCTTATGAGGAAAAACAATATGACAAAAATTCAGCAATATCACATACGCTGATTTTCATTTTGCTTTTCTCATAAAATTCACCTGGCTTGATATATTTTTATAAAGTTTATACTACACTTTTAGCACAAAGGTAACATATTCTAAAATTTGTTTTCACCTATAAACCTTTACTGAGTGTTATTTGTCAATATTTGTTTTCTTTATTGCAATATTACTAATATTTTCCAATTCTTTATCATTTTCCAGTTCTTGGGAGAAAAAATTCTTAAGAATTATCCACTTTTCTAAACTTGTCACATGATATTAAGTCATCTACAAAGAAAAAATTTGTGTTGCATCATCTGTCCTTAAAATGACAAGTTTTCTGATTATAAAACAAATATTCATATTCTTTCACTTGATTTAATGCACCTAAAATGTTGCATACATTATACATGTAGGAAGTAGCAATACATACGTTCCGACATTATATGCCATTGACATGTACATCTGATATATTCCATTGACATGAAATTTATAGATATGTTTATATGTGTTGAAACAATGTGTGCATTTTCAGTCTTTATTTGTCCACTTGATGTACAAATATAAATTCTTCTTGACAGATTAACATTAGTGATTTACTTTTCTTTCTTCCAACGATCCATAGGAGCAGAAATTTCAAAATATTAAAAATCACACAGAGAGTTTTATTTCAGTTTTTAATTATCATCTGAATCATCTGATTCAATCAAAGCAATTAGACTTTTGTCACAATCTCAATAAATAAAGATAAGCTGAACACATTTTATGCAACCTGTCAGTCATGTAACAGATGTTTTGTTTTGACATGTAACACATGCATTTATATTCAGCAAATGAATTTTAGGAATCTTTATGTGCACATTACGTTCCCTGAATTAGGAGTCTGTAATTTTACTGCTGCCTGGAGATCATAATCAGAGGAGTTCTCAAAATATTTTTACTGTCCCTTCCTGAAGTATGGCTTTGGCTAAGTTCTTGGTCAATGTTTCTTTCAACACATCCAGTTGTTCTTTTCTAGCTTCTGTGAATCCCTGAAATCAATAAATGCAATGTTAAAAGCTGTGTTTGTTTAAATATTGCATACATGTGACAGAACTGAAAAATCACAACTAGAGATTTGAAATTTTTCAGCCGGAGTTTGGGTCTCAAAGCTGGAGATTTTTATCGACTTTTTTCCAAAATCGCAAAATGCAATCCAACTCCCTAGAAAATACCTTCTTCCTCTTTATTACTTAAAATAATTTTTATTTCATGAAGTCTAGCTTTAAAATAAATAATATGTTAAATTTTTTATTCAAATGAAGTGAAATTGATTATTCAAAATTAAATTAATTCATTGCAATTAATTAAGAGTTACATCTTCATTAAAACATTGGATTTTATTTTTGATTTGGTAATGTATTGATACATCAACCAGTTAGTGATGTAAAACATAGGTCTATATGTTTAATACATATTTTTTGTCAGTATTTTTTAAACAAGAGGCCCATGGGCCACAACGCTCACCTGAACCACCTCGGCCAAATTGTTCTTCAGAGGATGAAACGAAGGCACTTTTCCCCCATGAAATGTTTTCCAAGGGTAACTTATAGACTAGATTTGTGGCTTCTTTAGTAAATTAAATCCATATAAGAGGGGAATGTTTCAATTCCAAATGAACCATCTGCTTACTTAATTGCAATTAAGTGCAGATTTTAACACGCTATTGTTTAAATATGTTCTCATTTCTCAAGACTGTCACAGGTAATGATTGTATATAATTATATTCATTTTTCATGCTTACATCAATAAAAAAAAAATTGCAGTTTTAAGGCTGTATTTAAAATTTTATTTGATTTCAAGAATTATAACAAATGTTTTGTATTATTAGAAGTAAAATGTTACACATACATGTACATTAGTACAGATTAAAAATTGAATTTTGATACATTTTGAGTACAGTGTATATAATTTGAAATTTGACACTTAAACTTTGTGAAGAAGCTATCTTAAT